GGAGGTCATTGATATAGACTAAAAAGAGTAACGGGCCGAGAACTGATCCTTGCGGTACGCCGCTAGTGACGCATAGGCTATCGGAGTGGGTGTTGGCGATCCTTACCTCAATTCTTCTGTCGTATAAGTAACTTTCCAACCATGTGAGCAAGGCTCCGTGGATACCATAGGCCGCAAGCTTTCGGAGAAGTGCTGGGTGATTGACTCTGTCAAATGCCTTAGAAAAGTCTAAGTAAATCACATCTACGGGAACTCCCTCGTCAGCAGCCCTGGTCCATGAGTCCCGAGCAAGTAGTAGATTGGTGAGGCAAGATCGTCCGCGTCTGAATCCACTAGCGTAGCTACGCCTCGCAGTACCTGTTGTTCCGAACATCGGAAATCAACTATACGACCCTGGATAAAGAGCCGAAAGAGGGTAAGGTGTACCCAAAAAATATCTTTCTCCAAACACGCACTTCGCAGAACAGCGGTAACGAACGAAGATCGGTTGTGGGTAAAACCAGTTAGGCAAAGCCTGGTCACGAAATCCAGCAAGCGGTCTGTTAGGAACAGTGTTGAGAGGATGAAATACGGTATGTTTATGTAACCATGAAGGCAAGCGCTGCATCGAGATCGATCCAAACAGCGAAAATTCATCCAGCGACTACATACGAAAAACACTGAAGGAACAAGTGACAACAATAATTCGAAGTCATCTTGAACATTGTAAGTCAGGTCGATGACTCAAGCTAAACGCTGACGAAAGACGAGGTTGTATAGCGCAAGTAGCCGATTGCATAAAAAGTTGGAAATAAGCACGGAAGATAAACTATATAATTAAGTCTAGAAGAGTGGTTTAACATTGCAATCAAGGTTGAGGGTGTTCGTTATATTTCGAATGTACAGTAATACCAAATCAAACCCATTTTGCACAAAAGCTGGTTTTAACACTTAAGTGAAACCATTCAGAGCCCTTTGAGAGGATTCAGCACCTTTATGTAAGACAACGACAGAACGCAAGCGCGTTTAAACGAATCAAGGATTAGAAGTTTCATTCGCATAATATAGCAAAAACCACGCGGCAGTGAAGCACAATCTTTACGGGCGCGATCACAAGCTATCTCACCACTCAGGCAGGCGTATAGTAATGGGTCATATTTCCTTCTCATGACGCACCATCTCCTCTGGCTTCCGCTCGCGACACCTTCATGTACTTTGAGGACCTCGTGATGGAATATTCCCTGCCCATTTCACCCTCGTATCTCCGCTTCTATGCGTCCCATTATGATCGGCCCGGAGTCGTCCGATAACTCGTGAGTTGCTTGACCGTGGATGCACCACTCTGCTTGGGGTCGGTCTAGGAGGCTACAATTACGGCGCTTTTGTCTGACTTATTGCATTCTCAACGAATACCCTCTCCGTTCTGCCTGGCTCGAAGTCACTAACGGACGCCGCTCGTGACACGTTCTCATCTCGTTCAATCAGACCAGCGTGGCTCCGATTGCCCTCCCTCATTGCGCCTGTTCTCGTTTCCGTCCGCCGCCATTTTCGCGGTCTTTCTGTTCTCGGGGCAAGCACTGCCTTCAGCCTGTCTAAAATAACACAAGAAACCTGATCACCCTTTGTGGTATTCGAAGCTATGCGCTAAATGTGTCATCAAGGGGGTAGGTCAAGGTTGTGTCCGACTCCGTTAGAGTAGAGAGTAGACCAATCCCCAGTAAGGAAGAACGAGCAGGGCGAGTATGCATCAAACACTGGGGTTTATTCCACACCAAAACGTGAACCAGAAGTGAGTAAAATTACACTGTACAGACTGCGTTGGTTATCGTTAGATCGTTTGTGGGCGTTGATTTCAAATCAGCACCAGACTGTGTGTTACAATCTGACCGTTGGGCATCAGCTGACTATTACTTTGGGCTCAGCTCGTTCGGGTCTTCGGGAAGGATAATTGAGTGACCACGATTCACGAGCTCCATTGGCCTGCATTCGACAAAACCGTACCCTGCTAGCAGACAAGAAATAGTTATGAGCAGCTTGCAGAAATCTGAGAATCAGGTTGAGCCATGTGTTGGGGAGACTGAAGCACCCTCCAAGACGTTAGACATGAACGGCACGAGCGCAGAGCACAACCATAGTCGCTGTTTCAAATGGATACTTCGGCATAAATGCGAGAGCTATCGTACTTCCGAGAACTGCCATACCCTCCAATATCATCGGAGTAAGCGACACAAGCGGCTAAAAGCTAGCGGAGATTGGATTGGTCACTTACCATCTCAGGTGTACCGGTGTCCGTATCGGGGTGTCCACTTAACGCGCTTGCATTAAGATGCATTGAAGCCCATGTTGAACAGCCGTAGGACACCGGTGTCAAGGTGTTGGGACTCGGCACTTTAGAACAGCTTTCGCTGTCACTCGTGACAGGCGAACTGTTGTGTTGCCACTGACGCCTTCATCCCACGACTGCAAGAAGTCCAAAGACGAGCCGGAAAGAGACTTGGATGCATGAAATCACATTTGCTTAGATAATTTTGAAGACAAAATGAAGGGACGCTACTAACTTACACTTGAACCAACCAACAGAAGGAAAACATCAAATGCAACGGGCGAATAAACAACCTTGTACTCAAGAGCGAATCACATATGTCCTTAAAATTAGCATCGTGGGAGCCCAATCGGAAAGCGAACATCCATTTACAGTGACGGGCACTGACCAATCAGAATAACGGAATGTGGCGTTTAAACAAATGTCACGAAACAAACGAGAATAAGAAGTGCAGACCCAAAAATTAGGAAATTAGTGCAATAATTGTGTGACGACTAAATATTCCTTTAACATAACCAAGTAGAAAAGGGATGCGGAGAAAAACCATTGGAATGTGTTCTTACAAAAGACACTGCTGAAGATGACACGGTGAGCGTCCAATAACAATGACGTGTGTGTACCACTCGGGCTAACACCGTGGAACGTTTAAACACAACAGTCAGGAAGTGGAAAATAGGAAGAATAAAGAATGACTATTAAGTACGTTAACAAAAAATGAATATCAACTTGATATTCTCCTAACACAAACGAAGGTGGTCTTGTAAGGATCACTGCTAGGCGAACAGCATGATCTAATGGTATAAAGGGATTTAAAAAGTGGGTCCCAATGAGAGTCGACACCGTACCAGCAGCAATTCAACTGAGCAATGTGCAATTACACCCACATCAAAGATTGGACCCATATGGAAGTATTACAGAAGGTGCAATGTAACTTCAAACGTGAAGTTTCCGCCTAAACTAAGAATTCCCACTCCCAGTGTGGGGTATAACAATGAAGCACCGTAGTCTTTTGTGGCCCGTGACTTCCTCAGCGCACTTTCATATGAATGGGAGAGACAATACGTTGAGTGAAAATGCTGGCGCCATTAAGTGATATCGCTTTGCTCGGCAGCCTATTCCCATTCGGCTTATCATTTGAAATCGCAAGGTTTTGTTATTGGAGCGGAAGTTAAAAGGTGATCAGCAAATACAAGAGCTCACTGTTACTGATCTATCGTAAAAGAGAGGTTTTTACAACACATACTTGTAGATTGGCAACAACTAACCACTAATTGTGAGAGTAGAAAAGGTGGAAGACACAATTGATCGACAGACAGACATCAAGCGCCTTGGTTATTAGGTTGTTCGGTAGGTTATTTCGTATTTTGTATGAAAATGAGGGCCGACGTTCTTCTAGTGAATAAATATTGTATGGAATTATGTATGGTCCATTCTGGTCCAATAGCTTTTGCCATTTTACTGGCAGTAGCATGATTCCACGCTCATAAAAGGTTTGTTCTTTGCTGACGAGAAACTGATCCAGGTGATTTTGTCACCCACATTTGAAGTAAAGGTTTTACCGCCTAAAATTATGTAGAGATGGGAACAAGTAATAATCAGAAGGTGCCAGATCTGGAGAATATGGTGGGTATAGCAGTGTATCCCATCCAAGCTGTAAAAGCTTGTGGTGAGTTACCAAACTTGTACGAGGTTTCACATTATCTTGGTGGAACACTACACCTTTCCTATTGATTAATTCTGGCATTTTCTGTTTAAATGAATTATTAAATTTATCCAGTTGATGACAGTACACACCAGAATTGACAGTTGTGTTGTCCGGTGGAAGCTCAACAGAAACGATTCCTTTGAAATTCCACCAAACAGACAGCATCACCATTTTTGATGAATATTGGCTTTCGAAGTGGCTTGAACCGGTTCACGTTTTTTAACCCATGAGCTCTTGCGTTGCATGTTTGTAGACAACCATTTTCTCGTCCCCAGTGATGATGCATTTCAAAAATGAATCATCGACGTTTGGGAATCAAATCACGGATGTTAACGTGACGACAAAGTTTTGTAGTAAGAACGCGAGGAATCCATATGTCGAGCTTTGGAATGAAACCTAGGAGTTTCAAATGATCATGAACGGTCGAATTCAATAAATTTAACCTCTCAGCGATCTCAAGAGTAGTTATTCGCCGGTTTGCATTAATTAATTAATTAAGCAATCAAGGAATAAACTAATAATGCAAATAATTAAGGTTACAAACCAGTTCTGGTACTGGCGTTCTGGCAATACGTCTTTTCCTTACACACCCGACAATTTGTCTTACTTGAATAGCATTTTGCCTTTTCGATATTAACAAAGTAAAATATGCCGAAAATGTCGCTTTTCACTTCCCATATTTGAAAGGGCACCAACCGAAAACTAGTGCGCGGAAGCAATCGAACTTTTGCACCGGCAAACCTTGCTATATCAACTGTCAAAATATATATTGATTATACGGAGTAGGTGCGGTTGGTTCTGAAAAAATAATAATAAAAGAAAACGAATAAACGAAATTGTTTTCCGACCAACCTAATATTTTCGGGACTAGGGGGAAGCCTTTTTAACCAAAATGGGCTTCCACATATAGCAGGATAAGAGAAAAGAACAGAAAGTGGGAAAGAATGCAATGGACATAAGGAAATGAGGTCTAATAATTAGGGAAACATACTGGCCGGATGTCTGAATACCGACAAACCCTATTATATCCAGCGACGAGATTGACCGAGGCAGAGGTCAGCCAAGTGAATGCACTTCGCAAGTGTGACAGTCTCACCAACAAGTTGTTTTAAGACTTTATGGAAGTATAACTCTTTATCGATAAACCGTTGGAACGGTCAAAGAAAGGCAAATACATCTCGTTGGTCACGGAAATAATCGTAAGAAGTTACAAGGAAGCAATCGAAAATCAAGTGGTCGAAACACAATAGGGAAGCCGACCGAATGAGTAACATGGTTAATGGATGTGTGCGGGAGTATAGAGATCCAAATAGGGACTTGCACATAGAGAATAAAATTATAGTGTTGTAGGGACAAGAGATGTGTGTAAAAAGTAAAACCATATTTACATACACTAATGGCGAGTCCAACGACTATCAGCACGCATAGTGTCAGTGGTGCATCGACCATCGAAAGGAGGAAAGAAAGTTGTTGGAACGGTGTGCATTTCGACGTGCCTCGCAACGGAAGATGCATCTGGTGGGAGGCAAGGGATCTGAAGAGCAAAATGTAAAAAAGTAAAAGTGTAGATAACGAAACGGATGGAAATGCAGAAAAACAATTGCGTGTCAATAGTGCCTGTAATGTGCGCAAGGGTCCATGCGGAGCCGATGCTACCGCACGACTACCTCGTCCACTCTATGATTCTAAGCATACACTAATTACCCTGAACCGTCAGTATACGCGCTAAATACTATGTGGCGAAACACAGGGGGTAGGCAGACAGATATATCGTGGCAATTCTGTTCACTTCGTCAAAAGATTGTGGGATGGATGGAATAGCAGAAATCCAGATGATTTCGGTCAATTCCAGTTGCAACCCCACGGTATTGAACAATGGGAAAAGTGAAGCAGAATTGGAGATAGGTTTAAAGAACGATAGAAGAAAATGAACAGCACGAACGAGTAGGTTGGTTGTGGGAAGGATCGGCATATGAAAATAACAAAGGGAAGGAAACAGCGTCAGTCACTGACTCCTCAACTATCCAATAACAGGGAAGGCGTCCAAGCAACGGGACGCCATGCACGACGCAAGAGCGTTTGCTTGTGGTACTATCAATCGTCACCGCACCAGTCACTGGATATCCGAGAAGTCAGCAGATCTGTTGGAATTCAGAAGAAAGCTCCCGGCTGGATCTGTGCACAGTGTGACCGGACGGAATATTAGACGCGAATTAAAGCGGAGCTTGTGTGCTAACAAGAAAGTCTAGTGGACCAGTAAAGCAAAAGAAAAGAAGCTATAGTGGTAGGCTATTACCGCAAGCTCTTCCAGCTGCTCCGCACCACTGGTCCCAGGAAACCAGGTGTCAGTGACACAATCAGAGACAGCGCGGGTGCACTGATTCATAATAAGGATCGCCGTATGGCTCGTTGTACGGAGCCCTTTCAGGATCAGTGCAGTTAGTCCCCAGCTTTCTGACCTCTTCCTATTTAAGTGATGCAGGACGAGCCATGGACGGTTAGTTTAGAGACTCCATCGGACACTGAGTTCCGAAACGCGATCACAGCCCTCAATCGTTTTCGTGCTCCTGGTTCGGATTCCCTCCCATCTGCATTATTTAAGAAGGGACGTGCGGTCCACTGCAAAGCGCTGAACACCCTGTTAGAACATGCCTGGAAGGAGGAATCCATCCCGGCTAACTGGAGTGAATCGATTATAGTGACAATATACAGGAAGGGCAATTGCAGCGACTGTGCCAAACACAGGAGTATTAGCCTAACGCCAGTTACGATAAAATTACTGGCCTCAATTCTCGTTCGTCGCCTTCGTGCGAAAGGGGAATCCCGGATTAGAGAAGAGCAGGCAGGGTTCCGCCATGGAAGTGACTGTATAAACCATATATTCACTCAGCGGAAGGTGCTAGAGCAGCGCCACACATACCACAGACCGGCAATAGCTGTCTTCCTAGACTTCAAGAGTATCTTCGACTCAGTCGACCGATCTATTCTGTTCGAAATACTTACGCGGAAAGGCGTTCCCATGAAATATGTGAATATTTTATGTGCCTTGTAGTAGAACACGACAGGCCGCACCAGTCTACGGTGACCTGTCAGATATCTTTCCGACAACAAGCGGCGTTCGTCAGGGTTGTTCAATTTCTCCATTTTGTCCAATTTCATCGTGCACTCCATCATGGAGTGTTCCTTCGCGAAACCATAGGATGCAAACGTTGAGGTGCTGCCTGGTGAAGGGCTCGTTGAGCTTGATTATGCGGACGACATTGCCTTGCTTTTTGACGATATTGAGATGGCCCAGTCAACCCTGAATAGCCCCTCTAAAATGGTCCCAGTATATGGTAAGCGATTCGCCCCTTCAGTGTGCAAAGTGTTACTGTAGGACCACGAGCCACTTGATGACCCCTTGACCCTTAATGGCGAGGAACTCGAGGTGCTTGGTCGATTCACCTACCTTGGTAGCTGCATCATCAAGGATGGACACATAAAAACTGAGGTCAGACCACGTAGTGCAAAAGCCAGAAATGCCTTATTGAACCTGCGCCATCTTTGGTGACAGAATTGTATCCCTCCGTCTAAAAGGTCGTGTTTATAAGGCTCCAGCGAGCGCCGTTATATTCCAGGGTACAGAAACGATGCCCCATCGACCTGAGACGCCTTCAAGCCTTCGATTATCGCTGTCTGCGGAGATTTACTGGTGTCGGGTGACATCAGCGTGTCCGCAACGATGATGTGCGTAGACCAGTACTAGGTGGAGATAGGTAAGCTAGTTGTTTAGAACGACAAATAATGTCTTCTTACTGTGTTTTTCAAATAATGTTGAATTGGTTGAATTGGTTTCGTTGGCTTAGGTATGTGCTGCGTGAACCCAGTCACCGCCCACCGAGGAGGCTCATGTTTTGCTCATCGGATGTTGGATGGTACAAACCTTGAGATGAGCAAAGATTGACATGGCAGCGGGAAATGGGGTCACTGACGACCAAACTGGGTGCCGTTGATCCGCCTCGCTCTCCAGATTGGAGTCCACGTTAGCCACCTTGTACTTGGCTCCAGACTTTACAGGACATGGCTCGCGGTCGACGCCAGTGGTGCATCTGCTGCCGTCAAGCTGTCTATATAAAGAGTGTTTGGTGCTGAGTTATCTGCAAGGTAATGGCTGATTATGACTTGGCGCAGTGAGGGCCGCAAAGAAGCTGTCTCGTCGATACCGCCTTATCTTTGCATGACGGTATGTTGTTAACACAAGGTGTAGGCGCCTCGACCCTGAAGGTTTGATTAGGGCACCAAGGTTTTCCGGTAAGTCTCTTTACTCTTCCTTTTATTATTATTCTTTTCGTAGGTCATTTTGGTGAGATGGCAGCGAAGCATCAGTTCGAATGACTGATGTATTGTTCTTGATGATGGTAAGGATGAGGAATGAGCCCATCACCCTCATCCATGGAAAAATGAGCTCACTGGCAAAATCAGATCTTTCGGTTAATTTGTTCATAACTTCACACGACAAGACGCAGTAATAGTGACCACTGAAACAGGAAGATGACAATAAATAGTAATGGAAACAGGTACATGGTCAAAGTTGGTGGTTCAATCCTAAGTGACAGTCAGTTCAACGGTGGACACCATATTAGCAAAACCGACTGTACGGATGTCAGGGGCACTTGCTCGGTGAGCGAACCAGAGTTGGACACTTTGCAAGGCGCGTGCGGTCAAATAATGAGGTCCTCGAATGCGCCAAAGATGCAATGATAGCCGGCTGTCTAGTCAACACAAAAGCTATAGATAGGAAGGCTAGTATCGTGTCCTCTTCGTAATCCACAATGATACGGCCACTAAGTACAAATGCACGAAGAGCCATTCTACGGTTCCACAACCGTGCGACTGCACTTTAGCTCGGCTCTCGCTTTGCCATCTGTGGCCACTCTAATTCTCCCCACACAATATTGTGTTTGCGCTCATTCGAACCAGTTCGACGAGCTCTACTCAGTGCTGCCCAACTATTGAATCTAACCTGTGTGGATTATACAATTGCCACAGTTCCTAGTTTTCGGTATATTCTTTGCCGAGTTCTACGTGTGTAACAACATCAAACCGGAGATTTTCGGACAAGGTTTTGGTCTCCTTCGGAAGCAGAAGCTGAGGGTCCCCAAACTACGCGGCAACCACCCCTGCAAGTTGCAGCATAACAAAGTTACAGTCATTTTGCTCCGCTCATCAACTGAACAGTCCTAGGAATGCCCATCAGCGCTCCACCTAAATCAACACACGCTGCCGCTTTGTGTGAGTGTGTGTGTTCAACTGCGAGTCGATGGATCGGTGAACCCGACAGTCTGCGCGTTACGACCTCCATCTGCCACTACCGTCTGACCTTGGTGCGGTTGAACAACTCTCCATTCGTGTGCGTGTTTTGACGTATTTGTGCGTCACGCTTGGCGCAAAGAACACTCATCAAGGTGAGCGCTTAGATAGGCATTGCTGTAAACGATAAGAGGACGACTAGCATTCCAATGGTTCCATGTCGTCTATGTTGTGCAGACAATTGCAGTAAAGTCCTTAAGATCGGTGAAACCGGTTCTAGCTGCATTAGATCGTACTGTCCGCAATGTGTACGCGAATTCGGCCAACAACTGGGACGGACCAACAAAGTTGCTGACATATTTTAGTTTTGTCCAACATGTCAAGTCATTCCAGTTGCCAACTGTTTAGCTTTGTTCATGAAAAAGTGCGATAGAATGACTGAGATAATCGCGCATTTTATAAATACTAAGATCGATCACACGGAGGTAAATATGGCCACGCTAATATCTCAACCAGCCAAAGTAAGCTCTGAATGTAAGCCGACGAAAAAAGCTAGACACGCCAAGCGCACTGCAGCGTCTGTGTCTCTAAATCTACTAGGTCACCTCACTCCAATAAATGGACAAGCCTCAAACATGCCTACTTCCACTTCTCCAACCGTAGACGCTTCATATGGAGATTAAGCCATGACATTGACAGCTCAGAGCCGAAGGCAATCCGGTGCAGATAACAAGTAGGTACCTTACGCATCGATTACCTCGACAAACACACTGGGAGCGACACACGTAGATCCATCTTCTATACCGAGCACACGTGAAGCAACGCAGCTCTCACAGTCAAATCCAGTGGTACCTTCTAAACAGCCCAAAGTGCCGGCAAAACTATAAAGCCGATATTCGCTAGACACAACCATGCTGCGCTAAAGCTCGTGTGCATCAATGTTCCCGAGTCTAAATCTGGTACAATAAAAGGCAAGACGATCGCAACCAGTGGAGTTCCATCTGTGAAACGATTGTTATTCTGGTTGAACCTGCAATGTTTCAACGCGTAGCGCGTCACCCGACCTCAGTGCACTCTGGTTAACCTCGAATTCTTCGATTTCTTCTTCGACTCAGCAGATGAGACAGAGGCTGTCCTGTTCTCAGCAGTTCGTCATCGTAACTTACCGAGCGGAGTGCGCATATTACCCGATCTGCCTTGGAAGGATCGCCCAAAAGAAGCAGTTGACCAAAGCGGCATTCCTAA